TTTGCAGTGGCGTAGTGCTAGTACCCTTTTCGGTTGAGACAGTGGCCTTGGTTTAATCTTCAGAGGTGGCAGGAATTATGACTATTACAGATCTGAGGTTAAGGTTTAAAAATAAAAATTAGGTTTATTATTTATGCAGAATAAGCCACAAAATCTAGACTTTCAAGAAAACTTTCAAGAAAAACATTTCAACAGGTGATTAACCAAAGAAAGCTGTGATAACAGTCATCAAAGTATTACATTTAGCAGTTATTATGTGGCATATAAATTGCACAGACATATTTCTTTGGTTAACTCTTAGAGGAATGTTACAAGCTGCTTTGTATTACATCACTTTTTATATTAGTTCACAGAAACTGGGCATTTTTTAATACTGTCACTCTCATTTGTTTTAAAAAAAAAAAAGGTTTAACCCTTTTGCTCCCAGAAGCCTTGAATCTAACACTACTGTTTGGGTCCATTTCCTCATAAATGTCACTTTTCTGACTTGTGTACAGTGACCTGTTTACAAGACAAACAGTTAATGCTATTGACTGTTTTCATGTCTACCAAAGGTTTACAATGTCAGTATATTTAAAGAGAATTGGTGTTGGGGGAGGGGGTCTCTGTTTAAGCAATGCTGACAATGATGGTAGTCTTTCACATAAATTGCCATTTTGTATATACACTTTCACATAAATTGCCATTTTGTATATACACTTTCACATAAATTGCCATTTTGTTTACAGGAATAAACATTCTTTGACACCATTCTTGAACAGGAGAAAGGTCTGAATTCATACTAATACAGTCTTTAAACCCCCCCCCCCCCCCCCCCCCCCCCCCACCCACTAAAAAGGTTGTGAAAATCTTGGTCAACACAAAAATAAAAGCAGTAAAATAAGGAGCTATACATATATTTCAGAAGCAATGTAAACTAAGATAAGGAAACAGATCAGAGATATTAAAATTAAAATACAAATAGCAAAAGACACTTTAAGAGCACTGGAAAATGTGTGATAGCCACCAGTAATTAAACATCCATTAACTGTTGGGTTTACAAAATAGAGGGGCTAAAATAATATGACAAAATTACCTAATGCAGAGCATACAGAAAGAGTGGAACAACTTCTAGTGTGTTTACTGGTGCAAAAAAAGATGACCTGCTGGATAGGAGGCACAGGGAGAAAATGTAATAGTATAAGTATTACATTTTTAAAATTTTAGAACCTATAGGGCAAAAGAAATATAGGGAAGAGGATAATTACAGACAAATTAATAATATAAGCAGAAATGGAGAGATCTGCAGGAAATCACAAAAGCAGGGCTTGACAAGTGTTGACTGATGACCTTTGCTCTATTATATGGGTTTGTAGTGGTGGTGGGGGGGGGGGGGGGGGGGGGGGGGGGGGGTTATTGGCAGAAAAGGTCGAAGATGATAATAAAAGGAAGAACAAGATGAAACAATTATTCACTCAAAATATCAATGAGGCAAACAAAATGAGATCAATAATGCACAAAATAAAAGCTGCCTTGTTCAGGTCACGAACAGATGAACCTGACAGCTTTTCTTTTTCATCAAGGCAGTCAAATATAATCACTCAGATCTGTATATTTATGATTTTCAAATAACTTATTTTTGACTTATTTTATTCTTATTTTCAACATAACAGAACAGCAAATTTTAAACATTATAGAATGTTTCTTTCATGCAAAAATACAACAGAAGCATCAGTAATCTTGATGCAAGTTCCCAGAAATATATAAAACATGTTCTGTTTAGACACACAAAGCATCATATTTCACAAGCATAGAATGTAATAGTGAATCAGAAATATTTGAACCTTAATTGTATTCAGTCTTGCTAGTTTATCTTTTACATGTAACTAGAATTTGACCAACCACACCAAGCAAACAAATTTACAAAACTGTCAACAAAAGAAACACAAGTGCTGCAAATGATCAAAGTATTAAGACAATTTTAAACACCAGAAAGAAATATTTTGATATTAATTAAAAGCAATTTTTTTTTTGCTGTTGTCAATATACAAAATGAGGGCACAAATACTGCAGACATTTTAGCCTGCCTTATTTTACTGTTTGAGTCTGTGGCTTAGGTGTTGTGAACGCGCTTTGTAATGCCAGGTTCTATCCCAGCTGCGGGCCTTGTGCCTTGCATTGGTTTCGACAGTGGTATCGAGAAGCTGACAATCCAAAAAGCAATGGCAAACAACTGGATATAAATCTAAATAGAAAAATCACAAGAGCCATAAAATGCTGGGGTTGGTTCTGCAACGTCTTGTAAAAGATACACAACTAACTTTTTTTATAGTTCACTGTAACATTTAGGGGGCATACTACATCAATTATAGCAACATACAAAGAAGCACACACAAAGAATGAATTATTACAACTGAAATTTACAACTCACATAGTCTAATGTTTCACTTACAGAAGCCTTAGAATAACCGTATGTTCTTCTGTTTGCATAAATGCTAATTCATACTTCTCTTGTCCCTGTTTATTTCATTGTGATTTGTGTTGGGTGTGCACATACCAAAACAGACGGACACATTGGTTTAGTTGCGTATCCTTCACAGGACGTTGCAGAACCAACCTCAACAACCCCTGGCTGTTGTGTGGTTTTTCTAGACAAATTTATGTCCAGTAGTTTGCCATTGCTTTCTGGACAGTCGGCTTTCTTGATACCACTGTCGAAACCAGCGTAAGCGATTCTGATGAGTATATTACACAGGCAATGTCCCATTGCTACGGCATTTATGGTGTAAGAGATGGAAAGTGCTCTAAATAAAGAGATTGTACTATACTATGGCTAAGCTACATTAAAATCATTGCAGTTACAGTCTGAATATAACTACAAAGTAAATAGTAAACAGTGTGTATGTAATGGCTCATTTTTCAGCCATTTTGTTCTCTGACATTTTTCTCAGCAATCTGTGAGAACTAAGAGCCCCCTGAGTGCTAAACTAACCCAGAAACTTATCATAACTTTGGAACTTGTTAGGAAATTGAACAAACTTTGAAGTTTTGTTCTCACATTTGGATATTCACTACTCGTGTGGCTGCAAAATCATGATAAGTGAAGAATTTGTTTGTAAAACTATAAAAAAGTTAAACATACACTTATCATCAGATTCAAAATGTACATTCATTTCTATACTTTTTTTTTAAGGATTAGATGTATATTACATTCTCTATTGCCTTTCTTGTACACCCACCCCTCTGCCATTTTTGTGAAGGCAAATTAATGTGGGCCAAGTCTGTCAAAATTCATGGGCCTGAAAGAGTTAAGGTACAGATGAGTATGTTTTGAAGGTTTGAAATAACAAACTATGACAAATGTAAATTGATGACTGTAAAACATCATAAAGCTCCAAATACAAAAACTCTACACATTCCTAAGTAAACAGTAAAATGTAATGATACTGTAATACAGCTACTTTTTTTCTATACCTGCTACAGCTATTATTTTTCTACTGTATGTAAACACGGTTATAGTAAAGCTCCCACTGTGTGCAGAAATACAACCACTTCAGCAAATTTATTGTTGCTGCAGTCCTATTTCCGATGCATAGATATGCTTTGATGCTGTCTTTAATTTTCTTCAAAGAAAGCTTTGTCACATTGTTAGCTATGTATCTGTAGCAGATTTAAGATCATCTCCTTTTAGCTCAACATTCCTGTATTACAGAACAAAAATTAAGATTGGAATCAAAGATTAATATAGTAGTTTCTATAAATAAAATCATGCTTAAAATATGATTTTAGAAGAAAACTATCCTTTAACAAATTATCAGACTATTATGGTAACTGCGCTCCTGAAACACTGAGCTTCAGGCTGAGTAAGCCCTGAAAAAGGTGTGTCTTTCAAAATGAGGTTGATATAAAACGGTTCCTCCCAACTCAGGGCAAAGTATCATCTCCATGGAGACTATAGTGCAGAGCTCCCCTTCCCTTCTCTATAAGTCCAGATACCCCTAGGATATATAGTCTTTTTAACAATGCACACTTCATCATCATCCTGTTGTGTCATTCATACATCATACAGAACTTGATGGTGGTTCCTTCATTATCTTCTACCCTGTGCAATTATTTTCTATACCGTGTAAAGAATTTAGTTTGGCACCTCTGGCCTCTCTTATCAACATTCATCACTGTGGGCACTAAAGGACTCCTAGTTGCTGCCCTTTACAACAACAAAAAGGTCAGACATTAGAAATAAAATTATCAACAACTATAAGATTAGATAAAAAGTCTATTATCAAGTTTCTCAACAGGATATGTACCCAACAAATTTTTAAAACTTACAGACAGCTCTTTTCTTAGCCTCTCAGACCTTGCATGGTCAAGTAATGTAAGAAAAACAAGAAAACAAAATGGGGTTAGTGGGGGTATTTTAAATCTGACAGGTGGGAAAAGCTGCCTTATTCAGATAGAGAACCCCTCTCCAGATGTAACTGCCAGACGTTCTAACTGCCTGGCCTCTGGCTTCTCTCATCATATCCATTTCGTGCCATGACAATAAATGCTGGCCATTACGGTTCACCACTGTACTCTTCTTTTTCTCCTCAATGTCAACTCCAGCAAAAAGTTCTGATCGTCAACTTCTGGACTTTGATCATATTCTAGAAAAAGTTTTGCAGGCACATCCATTTTACTGATCTGGTTTATTCGTATGCATACTCTTGATTTCTTACCTCTCAGGCAGAATCATCTAATTTAAGACATACTATTATTTTCTCTCTCCAAAATGGGGCATACAGCCAAAACATCATGCAATATCACCAGAATCGTGGATCAGGTGCATGTTCTTGTTCCAAGACAACTGGGTGTTTAAATATTTGTCTGCCCTCTGCTCCTTTTCCACCAATTTTAGTCTGTTATCACTAAGTTTTTTTATTGTATCTACACACATAACATGTCAAAAGAATTATGCTCCTGTACCACAGATACAAATCATAAGATGACAATGAAACATTTGCTTCTAGATTAATTACTCCTTACTTGAGTTCACTGACTGTATTCAACTTATTTGTGATGAGTTTTTCTCCAGAATGTAACAATGCATCAATATTAATTTTTCTGTCACCATGTGGGGAACGGTGCTTGTCAGATGTCTCAAAACTTGTGCGTCTGCTCAGTTCACTGACAGAAAGAAACCGCAAAGAGAAATGTTGTTAATACTTTTAATAATTTGCTATTTTTGTCATTTTACTGAACAGCTAAACAAATAATTTCCAACAAATAATTTCCTAAGTTTAAAACACATTCTGCCACTAATGATTTAAAAACTGATATAAATGCCAATTAAAAAATGAAAGTACAAATGAAAACGCTTTTTCTCCAGAAATGATAACATAAAGAAAAATCAAAACTACAGAAATGAAATGTCTACGACAAGTTGTAAATTCCCTGTGTGGCTTTTGGGCCCCCATTGTGGAGGGGAAAAAAGAACAGACCCACTGCCCCCTAAAGAACATGTCATAAAAGTCGACTAATTAAGGTGTTTCCTTTGGAGTGCTTCTGACTCAAGTTCTGGAAAAAGACAAAAGTCCAGGAGTAGACTAACAACCAGAACTTTCCTCCAGAATTTACCGCTGGTGTGTGCAAAGAAGAATTCTAAATATAAGAGAGAAGACAGAATCAGAAATGAAGATATCAAGAAATAAGTATGGATGGAACTAGCAGCTAGCACTAAACTACATCAAGAGACAAAAGATCAAATGATTCAGACATGTGTCAAGACTACCACCAAACAGTGTATCACACATAAAGCCTTGTCACTAACCACTATGGAAGCAGAGCTAGGAGCTGACCATGCAAACAATGGATAGATGAAATATCCGGGACCTTAAATACCACCATCTACATCCAATGCCTCTTCAAAACCTGATGCTGAAAGGCAGAACCGAACTAGAGAAGAAGACTGGTTATATTCAAATCAACAAGGTAACATATGAGAATTTGGTGGTCTGTAGAGTAATACGTGAGAACCCACATTGTGGAGCTAGGTATCATTTACTGTAATGTGATGCAGTTTCCTAATTTAACTGTATGTGTCTTCTTTTTTTAAATTTTATTTTATTGCTAATAATAAAATATTAGCCACGATTTAAGACAAGCAATAACAATATGGTATAAAATATGCAGATCAATTAGTTTGTGCATATTTATTCCTAAATACAGACTAAATAGCGGTTTGCTGGTGTGTTAGGGATTGCATCATCACAAATGTGTCATTACCCACCAGACTAATCTACGCTATATTGGACACATTCTGAGGATAAACAGAAAATCACATTTTGGGCGACAAAAAGATTGAGGAAAAAACACTAAAACAAACTTCATGAGAGAAGACAAAAGTGCTGGACTGGATTCCATCCATGATTTCAAAGAGACTGCAGAGGAAAACAGAATGGAGGAATGCATAGCAAGCCCTATGTGACACATAACAAAAGGACAACGATGATGATAATCCACACAGCATTAACTATATCAGCTCTGTCCATGTTCTTTATTTTCCATCCACATACATTAATGTGTACTTGCAAGCTGGTTCATGTAGCTATCCCATGTCTGTAGCTCCAGGTGAAGGAGGTGCATTTGTGCAAGCACTTACACCAAATGCCTATTCATATTATTGACCCTCTGTGCTTGAACTCTTTCCTCTTCTTCTTTGTTCGACTGTAAGCTCCAGAGGAAAGTCCTGGTTGTTCATCCATGTGGACTTTCGCCTTGTGCCAGGGCCTGAGTTTTGTGTGTAGATCTGTCTTACTGGCTTATTTGTTGCAGTTTATTGTTTCTTGCAGCTCTGGCACATGTACTCTGACTTCGAAAGAAGCTCCCAGTCAGTCGGCTCTTATGACATGCTTGTCGGGGAGACAGTGGTTCTATTCTTGTTTTCTTCACAATAGGGCCCCTGAATCCACATGGAGACTTTATCTCTTTCAAGACCAAGAAGTCACAGTACGTTCAACGGTCACTCTTCATTTTTTTTTTTCCTAACTGGTACTATCATTTTTTTATGTCACAAAGCTTTATTTTCCATTTTCCCAATGACTGCTCTATGATAAACAAACTTTAGGCTACAAATAGTTGAAGTAACAATTATCTGGGAATGAACAAGTTAATTTGCAATTCAGCAGTCCTTTTGTCTAATCACAGAATGATTGTCTGTTCTACTAAGATAACACAGAAAACTATAGGGAAGTACACCCATGTGGGTTCTGGGGACCCAGTGTGGGGAAAGCAAGGATGGATCCATTGCCTACCCAATAAGCATGTTGTAACAGTCAACTAATGGGAGCTTCCTCCAAAGTCAGAGTGCATCTGCCTGAGGGAAGAAACCAGAAACCTATATAAATATAAGCCAGATGTTAAATTGATGTACACGCAACACTCATATTCTGGAACAAGATTAGGATCCAAAGGTGGACGAATAGCCAGAGTTTCCAGACGGTGATAGCGAAGATGAAGAGGAATAGTGGGATACTACAATTTAAAATAAAAATGACAAGTTTCACTTTAAAATAAAGATTTCTCTTTTTTTATTTGCTTGAAGTAATCAAACATACCTAAGACGATTTGTTAACAGCTGCACCTGGTTCTTGTACAAGTCTAGCTCCTCCTTCAAAATGTCTATTTCTTTGTCTTTCTCATTTACTTCCTCCCTGAGAGAGTAGAGTACCTCCTCCATGCTTTCACACTGTGCCTGAATACAACATTATGTTCATAAGAAAAACAATAATTACAATAACATGTGCACACATCACTTAGAGCCTAAAAAATTATGGTGGTCCATCCACTTGCTCTAGAACAAGTGGATGGACCACCATAATTTGTTGCCGGAGTTTACAGCCGGTGAACACAAAGAAGAAAATATAAGGCTACAGTTTTCCTATGAACATAGATCAAGTCAAGAAAAGTAAAGGACCCTTTTCAGCGCCTTTAGGCATGTAGGGTTAGACCTATATTTGATAGACCAGTTGGCACTTGGTAGGTGATGTGGTCGGCATCACGCCTGCAGCCTTTACTTCCTTTACTTTCTGTCTACCAACAGGACATGGCAGGCTCAACTACCACATGCATAAAATAAAGATTGTACAATCCCCACAGTGTGCCTGTCAAACAGGACCACAAACACCTGAGCACATTCTGCAGACCTGCCCACTCTACCTACAACTTCGAAAATACACCTGGCAAGAGCAAAGTGTGCAGAGCAAGCTATGGAAACCATGAAGGACCTGCTACTGACATGCGAGTTCATAGAGGCAACCCACCTGATGGTCTGATCTGAGCATACGAAACCAAATGCAAAGAAGAAGAATTCATGTATTAATTCATTCATAAACTGAAAAACTTTGGCCATATTAAATGCCACAATGGTTTGGAGAGAACAGTAATGGAGGATATAGTTGCTGGAGAATAAAGCAGAGGCTATACAGCATGATCAAGAGATCAAGGAGACCATGGGTATAAAAGCTCGTGAGGTAGGAAATTTGACAGTGGGTAGAGTGGTTTTAGGTTGGCTGGGATGAGCTAACCCTTCTGCAAATGATCTGCTTAATATTGAATGATGAGCAATTCACCTAGTGTAAGAGAGACAGAGGTTTAAATCCTCGGTAAGGGGGAGGGAGGAGATAAAATCTTAACTTGCAGATTCCATGATGACAACACTAGTCATGCAGCCTTAAATCCTCAGGCTCAAAGATCTCTCTGCCTACAGTGCAAATACAGGCAGCAATGGCAGACTTACAGGAGCCTTTGTGAGGCTAGGGTAAGATAAAAAGCAATTTCATAGTTAGTTACAAAGTATAGTGCTATTAGTGGTATCACTTACTCTGCTTTCCTCAAGGCTATCATAAGGGCCAGGAGGATCATCAAAGCAAAAGAAATCTCTGACTGGTTTGCTGTAAACACATTCAAGAAAGTAACGTCAGAACATTTAACTCTTTGAGTCCCAAGGAACACGTCATACGTTCATAGATTCCTACTAGAAGCCCAATGAACACAAGATGAGCTAATTTTAAGTCTTTCTTGACTACCCGTTGGGCCTGTGATGCTAAACCCCCTGGGACTCAAAGAGTTAAGAAATATTTGTTACAACCTGCAAACCAAATCAAGTTTAAATCTATTTGCATAGAATGAGGCAAAGGTTCTTGTTTGCAAATCAAATCTTCAATTATGTGCACAGAATGAAGCACTCTAGTTGTACTATACATGTTTTCTGAAACCCCTGTTTTATCTAACATCATCATCCTTTTGAATGGCTAGCATCTAATCTTAGGAAACCATTTACCTGTGAATCCTATATGTAATTTATGCCAAAATTTGTAAAAGATGCAACAAGGCATACATTGGAGAGCAGGAAGCTAGCGGATTGGTTCTGGAATATCTCACCGATATTTAAAAAAAAAACCATCCATTTTAACAGCTGTGACCACAGAGGCAAAGATGATATATCTGTCACCACGATAAATCTAGCTCTGATGATCATATCATGAGCAACTTTTTGGAAAATCTCCTCATCCATACATAGTCTAGGTGTTCTAAGCCCCTGAGGTATCAATGTTCAACATACCTTCATCTGAACAGTTTTACTATTGTCACTTTATTTTTTAATGCAATTTTTTTATTATTTATGCTTTTTTTTAAATTTTAATTCATATTATTATTTTATCTCTTTTCAGTATTAGTTATGGATTAATAAGATTTATATTTCTATTACTCTTTTAATCCTACTATTAATACTTATTATCAATATTACTTTTTTGACTGTTTTTCTAGTCTTCCTTAAATCTTTTTTTTTAATTTATTCCACAGCAGTTCCGTATAGTTTCTCATGTGACCCCCTGGTGACTGGAGTACTCTTCCCTTGTTATCATTAGGGATTTTAGTCAAAATTTTTATTTTAGGTTTTTTACTTTTAAACCAAGACAGCTGAATAGAGGTTGAAAAACTGAGTTCAACGGTACCTCAATGAAGTCTGTATGTCAATTCTAAGCGGAGATATTCCCATTTCAGTGACGGAAAGTGCCCTCAAAAAATTATAATGGAAAACACAGAAACAAGATGGCGGCGTGTTCCCAAGTGAAAACTGGACCTAAATTTATCATGTTTAATGTCAATAACTCTCAAGTTTTTTGCTGAACCCCTTAGCAACCATATGTCATTGCTTTCAGGACAGCAAGCTCTAACTAAAGTTGTTGCCTTTTTAAAAATATGATGTGATGCAAACCTAAATAACATAAAAATGAGTAAATTTATCAGTATTCATTAAATACCTTATGAATTAATTATTATTAATTATCCAGTGAGTCTTGCAAGATGTATACTGTAATATATATATATATATACTTTTATATCTATTCTTCCTGTTATGATGCATCTTTTTCTATTTGTTGAAAAATGCTTTTTCTCGCACTCTTATTTGTGTGTGTGTGTATGTTTGTGTGTGTGCATACATCTGACCGAAATTTGCTTTATTCCACTGTTTAAAAAATATTAATATTTAATAGCGAGTGGATTGACTTCATTGCATTGTTACTGATTTTATATGGCTTTGTCTTTCTCCACAATACTGAACAAATAACGCATGCCAAGAGCTTAGCACAAAGCCTGGATACCGTAGCTCCAGCAACAGCCCTCAGAGGTCTCCGCTAACCAAAAAAATGCATTTTCGAGTCGAACAATGCAGTTGTAAATGAACGTACAACAATCTTCCGAGCGCGAGGTTAACGGCTTGACCACTTTGATACGGAGACCCCTATATTCCTATATTGTTTTATAACCAAGTGAAAATGAGCGCCCCTCTTACTGATTTAACATAATCCCTTTTTCAATCTTTGTGAGTTATTCTTTCATTTTATTGATGATGAGACATTTCACCACATTGTTCCCCTCTTCTTCTTAACTAGTCACTGCTTGATATTTTATTTACTTGTTCAAAATAATCGAAGGTAACCGCTCATGCCCGATTTGTGACTCAGTGCTATGTTTTTCATGGAGTAAAATTATTAAATAAGCTCCTCTGTAATTCGCTTTGGATTTATGTTGTGTTTTCATGGAGATGTAATTCGCTTCGGATTTATGTTGTGTTTTCATGGAGCAGCATTTCATAAGGTAAGAGGAAAAATTACATTATATTTTATTAACTTATCTATGTCCTACGTGATCTGTGATTAAATATTATTAATCATAAGTTGTAAGTAAGTGAATATATTAAATCATAGTGCAGAAATGTGTGGCAGACATTTTTTAAAAATGTCAGTCTGGGGGAGTGGGGGTCAACAGGTAAAAAGGCTTCAAACAGGAAATGTTATTCATGCCTAATGATAAGTTATGGCTTAAAAAATGCTATAATGGCTAAAAATTCAAAAAATGATTAAATAACTACTATATATTCATTTAAAAGTATATTATAAAATGTTTAAACCACTGTCTGCGTCCAAAATGTCAGTCTGGGTGCGGGGAGTGGGGGTCAACAGGTAAAAAGGCTTCAAACAAAAAATGTTGTTCATGCCCAATGATAGGTTATGGCTTAAAAAATGCTATAATGGCTAAAGATTCAAAAAAATGATTAAATAACTACTATATATTCATTTGAAACTATTATTATAAAATATTTAAACCACTGTCTGTGTCTATTTTTAACGCAAAATACCCTTGAAATAGTCTATGTTTAAAAACGTGCTAAAACATTATTTTCAGGTATTTAAAATTATTAAAACTCATGTGAAATTAAAGTTAAAGAAAGGTAAATTATTAATACAAATAAAACTTGCATTATTTTTGAACTGTTTTTATAAATAACTAGATTAATTAATCTGAGATAAACAGTTTGTTTAGGCCATGCGGTAGCCATTTTGAAAAATCGCAGATTTAGCTTTAAAGAAGTAACCGGGAAGAAATTGAAAGTTTAAATTTTGTGATGTACAGATTCCAGCAAAACTGCCCATATTTATGTAAAAATGGACGCAGAATCCAAAAATGACGATTCCTAGTATATATATTCACTTTAAAAAGGAGATATTAAAGAAATTTACTTCCCGCATGGCAAATAGTGAAATTTATTTGGCTGAACAAAGATCGCTATGTAAGTTAGGTGTCGATTGGTTGAGCGACCTTTTCTGAATAACTTTTGAGCCCACATATTCGATTCTGAACAGCCAGTATTGAGCGACAGGATTTCAAAGTAACTGATAGGCAAAGGAGCCATTATTCGTGGACCACCGACGCCATCTTGTAACTAAGCGATCTCTACTTTCGTTTTTAAGTGGGTCACTTGAATGATTAAAATAGCTATTATCATTGTGTAGTTAATTAGAGAAAGGCCCCAGCCGAAACGATCTGTGTTGTTTATGTGCACGTTGTTCTGCTTCCCCATTTCGTTAAGCTTTTAGTCACAGTTCACTGGTTTCGTTTTTTTTAAGAGAGAAACATGGAAATAGAGAGAGAGAGAGAGAGAGAGAGAGAGAGAGAGAGAGAGAGCGAGAGAGAGAGAGAGAGAGAGAGAGAGAGAGAGAGAGACTAAAAAAATGTAGAAAAAAGAATATAAGTGAGAGAGAAAAATAAAAAAATGTTTCAGCAGACTGACCTCTTACAAATGTCCCGGTGACCTGTGACATTATCTACAAATGCCTGCAAGCCAAGCACCCTCTCATCAAGAAATTCTACATCAAAATTGTTTCTGAACCAGCGCTTGGGTGGGAGGGCCAGACGGAAGTTAGGGAACAGTCTCGTCAGCTGTAATAATGACTAAGAATTAATGTTTGTTAAGTCATAATTCTAAGATGTGAAATGTCATAAGCAAAAAGAAGAATCAAAAAGCTAATTTTTCATTACTACTAGAAAATCTGGTCTGTGCTGCTAGGTGTCACAGTCTAACAGATGATAGCTGTCCGAACCAAGGCGTAGCTGGTTGCTTGATGTTGTGAAGTTTTAGGCTGTCAATGACTTCTTCAATCCATGTTCTTGTAGGTAGCCCTCTGTATCTTGGTACTTCCATTTCCATGTTGTATGCTCTCGCTGCCAGCACTGTTGGGTCCATTCTCCCTAGGTGGCCGAACCATTTTTGTCTTTGTTTTGAATTAACAGTAGATATTGCTCCATTAGTTCTTCTAATCTCTTCATTTCTCAAAAGAATTCTTCTAGTGTGTTCGCAGCCTTTCACATACATGTTATTTCACAGGTGGTTAGTTTTATCTCATGTTATTTGGTTAATGTCCAAGTCCGACATTGATAACCTAATGTTGGAAAAAGATTTATAATTGTAAATATAGTAACTGTTTACACTGTACTAATTTACATATGAATACGATTCACCTACCTGATCATTAAGGTGCACAACCAATAAATATGATTCACCCACCTGATCATTAAGGTGCACAACCTATAAAAACGATTCACCCACCTGATAATTAAGGTGCACAAACTATAAATACAATTCACCTACCTGATCATTAAGGTGCACAAAGTCTGTATATCTTCGAAAAATAAACCATCCTGCTTTGTCATCTTCTATCATCACATGGATTTTGAATACCTGCATAGAGTTTACATTTAAAACAAATAAAATTGAAACTTTCAGCATGATAAAAATTGTGAATCAAATGTATTTCAAATACAATTCTTTTATCTTAACATGGAATTAATTATGATTCTACTCATGAAAGTTTCTTCACCACAATTCTGCTTACATTAGATGAATTCCAGTGAAATGTGACTAAAAAGCTGAACAAAATGGGAAAGCAGAAAAACATGAACAAAACAACACAAAACAATGTTTTGGCCGGTGGCCTTTCTCAAAACATTTTGTGCAAGTTTCTCTTCTTGTCTGTTTCGTTAAGCGTTTTAGTCACATTTCACTGGAATCCATTGGTATTAGCTTGACTGCAGTCACCCCCATATTTTCACCACTTTTTACATTAGATGACAATATTTACATATTTAATTAATTCATCATCCGTGTTCTGTATTTAATCTAGCTACCCTATATACTGAAATCCTGAAAACTATAACTGTTCTTTCTTTCTTCATTTGTCCTACTGTTTTTGCCATAAAGCATCACAGAGATGAGTTAGATGGAGTTTCCTGTCTTTTGCTGGTTGTCTAGCTTGTGTCAATATCATATTGCATTTCTGTAATGTCCCTTTTTACTCCTTCCACCTATCTCTTTCTTGATCAGCCTCTTGCCTTGTAGCCCGCTGTTCTCATGTCGTATGCTCTAACTGCAGGCTAATTTTGTTCCATTCTGACCAGTTGACCAAACAATTTGATGTTCTTTGTTTCTTTACCTTTACCTATATATTGGTATTTCTCTAATTTCAGATTTATTCTAGAAACAATAAAGGCTATATATGAAATAATGGCAGGTGGCTGTTCGGAAGGCAACTGCAAAATTACAACAGACCTACTGACTTCTAAACAAACATGTCATAAACGGTGAGTTTACTAAAATGGGATGTGCTGTGACACATCTCATATGGGTTTCGAGGCCCTACTGGGGGGGGGGGGGGGGTGAATAGAAAAGGCCCACTGCCTGTTATCAAGCATGTTGTAAGTGTCGACTAATTAGGAAGTGTTTCATTCAAAGTCAGAGTGCCCCTTCTTGACTGGCGAGGAACCAAAAGTCTGAACATAAAAAAGCCAGACCTGTTAACCTGCAAAAGTCAGGTTCTGAAACAAGACTAAAGTCCAGAACTATCCACCAGAGTTTACATCCAAAGAACGTGAATAAGAAGAACCACAACATAATGTACCGATTAACTACTACTGAGTATGTTGAGCTGGCTGCTGCATCACAAGATGCAGCATGACTGAGTCAAACCGACATGCTACAATGAAGATACAAGCAATAACGTGCCAACTGCATTTTTAAGAGCAACCGAAGAACAAAAATAGGATCATTTGCTAAGAGTTAGTTGAAGGCCTATGCTCCATTGAGATGCAAAGTGCATAAAAGAGACAGCTCTAAAACAAAACGCATAACGGCATGTAAATAAAGTAATCAGAAATGAAAACAAACTCACTGTAAATTTTGAGCGTGACTCCAGTGTTTCATGTCCAACAATAGGCACACGGATAGAGCCTGGCACCATAAGGTTTTCTCTTGCCTGACTAGCTGTTAACATAGTATTTGAAGAACTGCTATCACTGTCCCTGCTGCCTAGATAACTGCAGTCACAAGATGCCTCTGAAGTTTCACCTTCCGTAGTCACATCTGTGCAAGAACTCAAAGAAGAATGCCTCTCGTTCAACAGTGGTGTTGTATCAGAATCGATGCTGCAGTCCACAGGGACTTCTTTGTTAATTACCACTGCTGATGTTGTTAGACCACTTGGCAACTTATCGACACTCCTGCCGCAAACTTCCCTCTTATCATCAAATTTTGACTCTTGGTTCTTAAAAGTATCATCTGACTGCCAACTAATATCTGTATTACTCACTGGCTGTTCAGATATGACACAATTTTCTGCAAATTCTATGCCATCTGATATAGTTTCTTTCCATATATTGGAACTTTCACCTGTATTTGGTAATGCTGCTCCAGTCACATTAACCGAAGCCAACTGACTGTCCGTTTCAGTAAACTCACTCATGCTGACATTAGTGATGATCACAAATAGGAAAATTTTATGAAATAAAACTTTAAATTCACAGTTCTAGCACATGATACACTAGATACTATGTGATCTATCCAAATGGAGTGCCTGACACAGTTGCTGTTACTGTGTACTCATACATTATCACACTGGAAAGAGAATAAAGAAAGGAAACATTTGAAAAAAATGTAATTTTTAAAAAAAATGACAACTCTACTCAATGGTAAAGTTAGTTCCAGATACTGCTGTTGGTAAATAAAGTGTTAGATCTTCACATTTATACTGCCACTGAGATATGAAGTGTTATGCTTTCACTTATACTACCACGGAATATGAAGTGTTAATACTTTCACACATTAAGCTGCACTGAGATATGATGTGTTATGATTTCACATATTATGTTGCCAATGAGATGTGAAGTGTTATGCTTTCACATATTATACTGCCACTGAGATAAGAAGTGTTATGCTCTCATTCATTATACTGCCACTGAGATATGGTGTTATGATTTCACACATTATACAGTCACTGTTATATGAAGTGTTACGCCTCTCACACATTATACTGTCTCTGAGATGTGAAGTGTTATACTTTCAAACATTATACTGTCACTGAGATGTGAAGTGTTATGCTCTCACACATTATACTGTCACTGAGATGTGAAGTGTTTTGCTTTCAAACATTATACTGCCACTGAGATGTGAAGTGTTATGCTTTCACACATTATACAGTCACTGTTATATGAAGTGTTACGCCTCTCACACATTATACTGTCTCTGAGATGTGAAGTGTTATACTTTCAAACATTATACTGTCACTGAGATGTGAAGTGTTATGCTCTCACACATTATACTGTCACTGAGATGTGAAGTGTTTTGCTTTCAAACATTATACTGCCACTGAGATGTGAAGTGTTATGCTTTCACACATTATACTGTCACTGGGATGTGAAGTGTTATGCTTTCAAACATTATACCACCTTTGAGATGTGAAGCATTATACTCTTGCACATTATAGTGTCACTGGGATGTGAAGTGTTATGCTTTCAAACATTATACCACCTTTGAGATGTGAAGCATTATACTCTTGCACATTATAACACACATTATTGATCACTAGCACACAAAACCCGCCATCTTTCTGTGTCTTCTGCCTGATGAATAAGTAAGTGTATGATAACTTAGTCCTGTCCATTTCTTGATAGTGTCATTTCAGGTCTTTTTTTGTCCTCCTGTTCTTTGACTACCCTCCAATGTTCCTTGAAGTACAGTCTTTGCAATCAAATCATAAATCAGTCTGTAAGTCATACCAGTTTATCACCGTTAAGATCCGTCCAGTTTTCTCTCTGTGGTAACTTCTAATCCTAGTTTAAGGCAAACAAGTGATTGGCCTGTTGTGCCTTTGCAATGGTGAGGGGCTGCCTCCTTGGGGTCTTAATGCAGGTCATCTGGTTGTTTCACGGTACCCAATACTTCGGGAGACACACAAGGCACTCAGGTTCAGCCAGACCCTCCTCCTTTTACAGCCGGGCTTGGGACCAGTCTTAGCAGATTTGACCATAATATCTTGAGCTGAAAATTGGACATACTACTCATATTTTGAGCTGAAAATGGGACATACTACTCATATTTTGAGTTGAAAATGGGACATACTACTCATATTTTGAGTTGAAAATGGGACATACTACTCATATTTTGAGTTGAAAATGGTAATTCACAAGTTAGTTAGTTAGTCTTTCCTCTTGTGTCGAGTGCGGCACATAGGGCAGAGGTCGTGACTCTCCATGCACGGCGGTCCGTTGCAATCCGTTGTAGGTCTTGGATGTTTGAGTGGCCCATGAGCGAGCCTTCCCTGATGATAGTTCTACGTAGGGTTTCCCTTGGTCTTCCACGAGATCTTTTCCCCTGTGGTGTCCAAATGAGGGCTTGGTAAGGAAGTCTTGATTTATCCATTCTAAGGGCGTGGCCGACATAGTTCCAGCGGCGTTTTCGTATAAAATTTGACACATACTCTTGCTTGGATTCTTACCTTATTTGTGTATTGGTTCGGATATCTGACCATTTGAAATTTAGTATTCTTCTAAGGCTAATTCACAAGTGAGTAAATTTAATCCCACCTACACATTTTTCTAGATCATCAGGGTTAAAGTGTTAATTACTCACTCCTCAACGGCATTAAAACCCAAATCATGAAATAAATGAAACAATGTGTTCCTTAACTAAACTGGGAGGAGAGTGCTATAATAGATATTTCCATCAACATGTGTCAGTCACTAAAAGTATTTATAACTATAAAATCTAATAAGGTCTACAGGTATAACTCTAAGTGTGTGTACTGTTCTGTTCAGCTAACACTTAACTGCTTAGTAATCTTGGCTCTCCTTGCACCTTTGGACGCAAGCTGGACGGCTTAGGTCGGCTTAGTGGGAGTTCTCTCCCTTGGCCGCATTGAAAACAACGAGCGGAAAAAGTCACGAATCAAACAAGACAGTGAGGTCGACATCAGGGCTGCCAATGCATGGTTGTGTCCCCCAATTTCTGGGGTTTTCTTTTCACGCTGTTTTTTTTTTTTTTTGGTGTTTTGCCGATCTGTATGCTTTAATGACCGATAAATTTGCGTGTTTAGGGGTAGGGTTAGGGTTAGCGGTAGGATTAGGGTTAGGGTTAGGATTAGGGGTAGCGTTAGGGTTACGGTTAGGGTTAGGGGTAGCGTTAGGGGTAGGGTTAGGGTTAGGGGTAGGGTAAGGGTTACGGTTAGGGTTAGGGTAAGGTTAGGGTTAGGGGTAGGGTTAGGTTAAGCGTTAGATGTGACAATTGTGATGCCGTAGTTCCCTATAATCGCGCAGAGTCACATACACACCCAAACAGTCGACGGACGGTGGATGCTACTGACATGGACAAATCGCCACCGATTGGGCACCAGCCGTGCGCTATTGCCGTCATATTTGGCACACTTCCATTGGCGTCACTCCCACAAGCATCAGATTGTCGCCCAGTATTTGGAAGTTCTACGTCACCACTTTCACATCTAACCCTACCCCTAACCTAACCCCTAACACTACCCCTAACCCTATCCCTAACCCCAAACCACACCCTACGCAACCCTACACGCAACCGTATGATGATGATAGACACCCTACGCAGCCCTACACGCAACCGTATGATGATAGGTAACCTTAAACGCAACCGTATGATGACTACGCAAGCCTACACGCAGCTGTACGCAACCCTACACGCACCCGGATGATGATAGGTAAGTATGTCATTTGATTCGTGACTTTTCCGCTCGTTGTTTTCAATGCAGCCAAGGGAGAGAACTCCCACTAAGCCGACCTAAGCCGTCCAGCTTGCGTCCAAAGGTGCAAGGAGAGCCGTAATCTTTATAAACCTCAAACTAGACAATAGTACACAACTAAAAACAAGACTGGCCCGGTGAAAACGGGACGTATGGTCACCGCATCTATAAATAACACTAACAGAAGAATTTAGAGGAAAATATCTTGTGGAACAAAGGTTGTCACTGTTGTGATGGAACCTGGTCCACTGAAATCATATTAAATAATAAATATGACGACAGATTGCTTGCTTAATTAAACTTATTCATTTGTATGCGGATAACTGATGTAGCCCAAATTGGAGGGGAGGGGGGGGGGGCACGAAAAACAGTTTGAATTCATTAACAATCACAGTTTGTACGACACATACCGAACTTTTTAATCACAAGTGATCTAGAATAATCAACTGCCATAAACTAGACAAACAATCTGTGACCAGGGAAGACTGTAAACATTCAAAACTAGGAGCAGAACTCTATATCTTTTTGAATTCTGAAATGGAAAACGAAACAAACAACAAGGAGGTGATTAGTCATTAAACATTAATAATGTCATTATCATTATTGTTCCATAATATTGCGTATCGTTGGGTCACCAGTTGCTGTTTATCGTCTGATCAGATCCCTCCACCGCACCTCTGTCGATCAGACATAATGGACTTGATATTTACAGCCAGTCTATTTAGCTAGATAGATTTACATTTTCAGCTTCCTGGCAAACAGCTCTACCTGCAATTTCTCAGTTCCTGTGCCATCGAAAACAAACAGAAAAATCCATCACTGTCCATTTTAAAAACCAATAACACTGGCTACATTCCCTAAAATACCAGTAGCATACAAACACATCATATGCACAAGGCAGCAGTCAGAAATATAAGCACAGACTTCTTCTTCTTCTTCTTCTTCTTCTTCTTCTTCTTCTTCTTCTTCTTCTTCTTCTTCTTCTTCTTCTTCTTCTTCTTCTTCTGTCGTCTCACTGATATCAGGTTGTAGCCCAGTGTCGTGGTTTGTTTGTGTTTATCTTGCGCTTCTCGAGTAGCTTCAATGATGGATTTGTTCATCTTTTTGACATGTAGTTGTTTTCTGTTCTAGCGTCCTATACATTGCCCGCCACCAGAAATGCAGTTCCTCGTTGATGGAAGCTGCAGTTACAGATCTCTCATTACAGGGTTAGGGTCACTACAGGAAAAAAATTTTTTTTTTTTACCTACAATGTTAGACCAATTATTTTATAATGGTCATTTGTAGTTATGTATGTTGATACATTTGTAGACTTCAAGTGTAAAAAAATATGGTTGCCATGGCAACAGCCGCCATTTTGATGAAAAAACAAGATGTAATTAGACAGCTAAAATTTCAAAAACAAACAGAGGTATTGAGAAACAGATGATCGATTCATGGACTTTAAACCTATGTTTAGGGTCAGGTCTAGTTTATTTACTTCAAAGATGTTTTTAAACATTTTTTTAGAGTATTAAAATTTAGGTTTGTTGAAAAAATACAAAAATGTCGCTTTTTAAGATAATATTCAAATTTTTTTTAAATTGCTTGAAAAACTGTAATTTCAAACAGACCTGACCCTATAATATTGTGTTAGGAGTACCCACACAAAATTTCACATTTCTAGTCCTTATATTAGCTAAGATTTTAGGACTGACTGACTGACTTTCTACCCCACCAGGACATCACACAAGCGACAAACACCCGATGACACAAAGTGCCACCATGCGGATGAGGATCGCCGTGGAGAGGTCCCAGAAACCGCGTTCAGACATTTGGCCATATGTATGGCCTGCCTATATTGCGGCCCCTGGCAAAAGCCAGAGTAGGGCTTCAAATAACAAAAAATTTTGTCCTAAAAAGGACGAAACTGGGTATTAGTGAAGCAGATTTTAGGAGATCCCACACACAACAAACAGAAAATTGAATTGTTAGAAAAGTGACTTTTAAACTTTTTTTTTATCTTAAAAAAGTGCATGGGTTGGTGTCTTTAGTATTAACTTTTCAATGCTAAACTGTTTACCAATGACACACATTTTGTGTGTAATCTATTCTACGAATGCCGAACATTACAAAAATGAACACATTGAAAAAGTTATATTTTTGTCATAAATTTGAAAAAAATGCCGTGTAGTGACCCCTTAAACGCATTGCGAATAACTCGTCTAACCTTTACTTGTGTGACGGGCAATGAGAGTATTCAAGGCACTGGGCATGCAGATTGTCTGGCAGACAAGGCGGTTACCACGATTAGCTCCCTAACTTGACAGACCGCGGCGCGCCGTTATACCGTGGTACCCTGTTCAAAGCTAGCAACTCATGCGATTGCATTAATTTTGACAATGGCACACAACTGAAGGTAAAAATTGCCTTGTAAAACCAAACAGCCATAAAATGCCGGGGTTAGTTCTGCAATGCACACGCAACTAACATTAACTCACCCCAATGTGTGTATTACGGTAGCGCTGGAAACCCCGAAAAATTCCCCAACACAGCATTCTGGTACTGCGAACCACCAGAAAAAGCCCTTGTGGTTTGTCGTAGTAGTAGTAGTAGTAGCAGCAGCAGCAGCAGTAGTAGTAGTAGTAGTAGTAGTAGTAGTAGTAGTAGTAGTAGTAGTAGTAGTAGTAGTAGTAGTAGTAGTAGTAGTTGTTGTTGTTATTGTTGTAGCAGCAGCAGCAGCAGCAGCAGTAGTAGTAGTAGTAGTAGTAGTAGTAGTAGTAGTAGTAGTAGTATTAGTAGTAGTAGTAGTAGTAGTAGTAGTAGTAGTAGTAGTAGTAGTAGTAGTAGTAGTAGTAGTAGCAGTAGTAGTAGTAGTAGCAACAGTAGTAGAATAAGCAGCAGCAGTAGTAGTGGTTGCAACATACGCCTGTGAGACCTGGACACTTACTAAACAAGCGGAACAGCGCATAAATGCATTTGAATATAAATGTTACAGACAGGTTCTAAGAATATCTTGGGTAAAGAAAAGAACAAACGCATCCATACTTCAAGAGCTGAATATTGAAGAGGGTTGGCTAGTAAAGACAATAAAACAAAGAAAATTGAAATATTTTGGTCACTTGAAACGTCATGGAAGTCTAGAGAGAACAATAATGGAGGGGTATATGCCTGGGAAGAGAGGAAGAGGAAGGCCAAGGAGAAGATGGGTGCAGGATGTGGCAGATGATCTCCAGATGGGTGTATCAGACGCGGGACATCTTGCTCAGGATAGGAAGGTTTTCCGGAGGGTTGTTATGGCAGCGAGGTTCCGCGAGGGACATGCTACTGAACGAATGAATGAGTAGTAGTGGCAGTAATGGCGGTGGTAGTGGTAGTAAATAAAAAAAAACGATATCCTGCTCAACACATCAGAGCTATAATTGAATTATGTAGACTGTCTATTTAGGCATTTGCTTGTCAATTACTTGTTATTTTCCTTTATTCATCATCATCCTGTTGTGCCACGTACGTCACAAACGGGACCAAGTTGATTCATAGATTTAAAAACCAGAACATTTTTGACTGCACGATACTGCATTGAACAGCACGGCTTCGGTCTGTCTCTAATGTTACATGTTTTATTGTAGCAGTCGCCAGACACAATGAACAGTTGAAATTATTCTATTTTATTTTAGCATGTCTTCTAATGCACATTTATACTTATGTATCTAAAATGGTTATATTTTGTAATCCGCGAATATTTGACGCAATTTTTCTTCTAGTCGTTTGTTTTCTACTGGATCAATGTTCTCCTCACAACCACGTAGACGAGGACGACGGTTTTGATTTTCAACAGGGCACCAAATTTAAATTGGTCGTTGATGAAGCTAAAGCACCAAGGTATACTTCACGCATGTAAATCATATTTTGTTGTCAATTTTAGGAAATGCGTTTTAATGCAATAACAGATATGGGCTATCATCCGAATAACGGGCACATATTATAGCGGCCGCAAAAACGCTTTAACAGGGCCTCAGTCACATGTCAATTGCGCACTTCCGGCGACTACCGCCACCGCCGAAAGTATTGGGGTTTAACTAGATGACTGAGACTCACGAGCAGTAGCTTGTGTATCTCCTGCAGCTTTGCTCGTGAGTCCCAGCCATCTAGTTTAGCGCCAATCCACGCTGCATGGGGAATACTAGTGGCGGTAGTGGCTGGAAGTCCGCATATTAAGTCGCTGGAAGTTCGTGATGTACATGTGAGTGAGGCCCTGTTTTTGGCCGTCATAATATGTGCCCATAAATCGGAGGTTAGCCCGGATATGTATCCTAGTAATTGCAAACCTAAACTACTATTGAACATCGGGGAGAACAGTCTCTTAAACAGCATCCTGTCCCAAAAGTTGAAGTATTTTGGCCACATCAAGCGTCATGTTGGCTTGGAAAAGACGGCCATGGAGGGTGCAGTTTGTTGAAGGTGAGGCAGGGGTCGAACTCCGCGAAGGTGGATGCAGGACATTAAAGATGCATTGACATTGAAAGCACATGGGGCTGGAGAGCTGGCTAGGGAAAGGGATACTTTCAGGCGTGCTGTGAAGAGTGCGACATTCTCATCTTAAATACAATGTAATGTAAATATCAGAATTTTCTTAAATACATATATTATAAACTAACAAAAAGTATCAGATAATCATAAATATCCATTAAGTATAACAAAATTGGGCCACATATCTAAATTATAACCATGTAGTGTGAATATAGTACTGATATAATTACTAATATTATTGTTAGTAATGAAAGGTTGCTCTTCTAGAAGTATTAACTGATACAAAGCCAAAAGTAGAATGGATTGCCAATTTATGTTATTTATATAGGAATTGATTTTGCTCATGATCTCAAAAATGTTTATGAATTGGGAAAGACAACACAAGTGGTAAGAGAAATGAAATGATTTGGGGAGATACCTGTAGGAGATAGAAGAAGTCAAATTATCTGTAGTCAGTTCTCATCACAGGAGCAGTTTGTTTTAAAGTATTTCATTTAACATTTAATTAATTCTTAGTGATATATTATAAATATTACAAACTTTCAGTATCTAGGCTCCGTGATCCAGTCATCATCATCCTTTTGTGCTCTTATACATCACATTGGATTTGCAGTTTATTTTTCCAGTCTGTTCTATCTTTTTTTTTAAAATTAGTACTTCTTTATTATTACAAGCATAGAGACAGCTAGCCCCAAACCCTCTTTCCTCTTACAGTATAAGACATTCCCAGCCAGAGCAGAGAAACATCTCTTACAAAGCATATTCATTCCCACTCAAAGCTGCCAGTGCCAGACATGGTCACTCACAGAAAACCAGAAAAGAAAATAAGTAACCATGGAAATGAGCTTTCTGAGGCTGCAGGAGTGGCTAGACGAGATCAGATCAGGAATGAAGTCATAAGAGAAAAAAATTCAGCACAGAACCAGTAATAAATTACATTCAAAGACAGTAATTACAATGTTTTCCAACTTCGAGAGAATGCCTGGCGACCCATAGCCCGCAAGGCATACACCAAAATAGGAGAAGGATATATAAAGAGCAATTTGGAACTTAAACAAGATGATATTAGTGGAAAGAATAAACATTAACAATCTAAGGCTAGGCACTAGCAAACAGATCAAAGTCAAATGTTGAGAGCATGCATCTTTCTTGTTGCAACATGTGCATGTGAGTTATGGTCTATCTCACAATCATTAAGAAAGAAAATAAGAATGTTATCCATGTTTTCAGATACCTCTTATATGATGTAAATCCAGGAGAGGGGTTTAACCTTCGCAGGGATGTGTATATGCGGATTGCAGTCTTGATAAAAAGTCTGAATGAAGATGCACCTTGGATCTTAGTTCTTCCACCATGGAGTGGTATCTATCATTGGAGGTCACGAGACATTGAGGCTCAGAATAAGATACCCTGGTCTGCATTCTTTGATCTGTCCAGTTTACGAAGTTTTGTTCCGGTTATGGAGTTTGAGGAGTTTTTGAAAAGTAAGGATTTTAAGTTTTTGAGGCCTGTTAAAAAAATATTATCATTTATTATTTTTAAATGATTAGACACAGATTGCGTAGTAATTTAATAGTGTAAATGTGACCCTAACTACCTAGGCTACTCTACAATGTTAACTTATCTTTTGATTCTCTACAACTGTTTACACCATTCAAAAAATGTCAAGATTGCCTGCACAGCTCTAAGTGGTAAATACAGACAATCTTGATATTTTTTGAATGGTGTAAATAGTTGTAGAGAATCAAAAGATAAGTAAAAATTGTAGTCATAAAAACATGATTACAAGTAATGGAGGACATTGCTGCAGTAATTCCCATCATCAGAGAACAAACAGAGCATCAAAAATAGACAGTAAAACAGTAACTAAAACTATCTGTATCCTCTTTGTATCACTGTTGACAGCAATATGTTCAAGCAGTATTTACATGTGATTTCTGCTGCTGCCAGTCTGCTGCTTTTCTGCCCACTGTATTCCCCCCCCCCCCCCCCCGCCCCCCTTCCCCCCATGTCAGTTTACACTCCTTCACTTCTACTGTCCTCCAGGGTTCCTCAGATCATTGACATCTTCTCTTTCCACCTACCCTCTGCAGGAGAGCTGACCATGCTAAAGTGTCAAGCAGCATTCAGCAAATATGTCCAAGCCATCTCTATCTTCATTCTTTGATAACCTTTGCCACTGATGAACATCTTATTTCTTCTCAGTTTAAACAGTTTTTTATTTATGACCTTGTTTGGCCAAACTATTCGCTTGATCCTGCTTAGATAATTATTCTTAAAAGTTTCTAATTTATGCATTATTCCTGCTGTCATTTTCTAACACAGTTGTTGGAACTAAAGATTTCATAATCTGCACATTTGTTTGTTTTTGCCTTTTTGTCTTTTGTTTTAAGTGTTAAAAGCCTTGTATTTACAGCTTAATTTATGTAAATGATATTTAAGTAGATAAAGAACCCATTGAGGTGTATTGAAAATATAGTTTTATTCCTATATTTGTAAAGACAAGTGAGCTTTCAATAGGACTGCCTGCACTTCCCAGAACATTTCCAGATATATTTTGTTAAGCTAGAACCTGCTTCGATGATTGAAACCTGTATGTAAGCATATTAGCCCCCTGCATTATCACTGCACCCTTTGCTTTGAAGTAAAATAAAATAGAAGTTGTCACATCTAAACACTAATGCTACTGCTTTTATACTTAAATAAAAAGCTTGATTTCTTTATCTTTACTATTATAGTCAGCAGGGAACCAGTAATAGAAGAGTTGTATTATCTCCAACACTACAAGGAAGGCTGGGATAAATGGGAAGAAAAAATGGACAGACGGCCTTGTATGCACAACCCTTACAGTTATGTAAGTTCTAGTGTGGTTAAGGTTTTCAGTATGTTGCATGAGTGTCCTTGGTTGTGGATATAAATAATACAAATGAATTGTAAGTCATTTATAAATACTTCAGAATTTCTGAGATTTTCTTTATTTCACTACTGTATTGGGATGCAAAAATTGTGAAGTAACAATGGTACTTGGAGATTTTAACGCGAAAGTAGGAAGTGAAAAAGTGTACGGAATAACGGGTGGCCATGGCCTAGGAGAAAAGAATGTGAGAGGTGACAGATTAATAGCATGGGCTGAGTAGTGCAGCATGATAATAGGTAACACCTGGTTTAAACACCATCCTCGAAGATTGTGGACTTGGAAAAGTCCTGGTGATAATGTCCGCAATCAGATTGATTATATTTTGATTTCAAGAAGATTCCAGAGCAGCTTAGTTGGAGCAAAAACTAGACCAGGAGCAGACTGCTTTAGTGACCATGTTCCAGTTGTAGGAAAAATTAGAATAAAACTAAAGAACATTAGAAAAACACCACAGAACATCAAGTTAAATTTAGGAATTCTTAGAACGGATAAAGAAATTAAGGAACAGTACAATGTCACTGTACAAAACCGGTATAATGCAATGGAAATTATACAGACTATTGATGAACAGTGGGATATGTTGCGTGAGTCAATTCAGCAGACATCAAAATAGACAATCCCACCAACCCATAGAGTTGCAAACAAGAAATGGATGTCAACCGAAATTCTGCAGTTGATGGATGAAAGAAGGAAGAAAAAGAATAATATAGAAAAATACTCTAAAATAAAAAATAAAAAATAGTGAACAGATGCAAAGTGGCTAAAGAAGCCTGGCTGAATCCAATGTGTACAGAGATTGGGGAAAATCACAGGAAAGACTTACATTCCATGTACCAACAGATAAATATGTTAACAGGAAAGATGACACGTAACAGCAATAGATGTTTGAAATCAAAAGATGGTGACTTATTATTGGGACATAGTAATATAATTAACAGATGGACAGAATATATAGGGGAATTGTATGATGCTAATAGACCAGACTTAGAACTGCAGACCAACAATGATGGTCCACCAATAATGACTGCAGAAGTTGAGGATGCAATACATCATGAAGAAAGGAAAAGCACCCGGGCCAGACAACATCTCACTGGAAGAAATCGAAGCACTGGGAGATTTTGGAATTGAAATAATAACTAATCTTTTAAATGATATTTATAATAGTGGGTATATTCCAAATGACCTTTTTATCCATATTTATAGCTCTGTCAAAGAAACCAGGCACTTTAAAATGGGAAGACCATCGCACAATAAGTCTTATGAGTCACATGACTAAGATTTTAATGAGAATAATTATGAGAAAAATAAGAAACAAAATTAAACCAGAAATCAGTGATGAACAATGTGGATTTGTAGAAGGAAAAGGTACAAACAATGCCATATACATTCTAAGGACATTGTCAGAAAGAGCTATAGAAGTAAAGACTGATTTGTACTTATGCTTCATAGACTATACAAAAGCATTTGACTGTGTGAAGCATGAAAAAGTAATCAAACTGTTTGAAAAATTAAACATTGATGGGAAAGATCTACGAATAATAAAGAATATGTATTGGTAACAAACAGCAGCTATCAGAATTAACAACTGTTTAGGCACATTTCAAAGCATAAAGAGGGGCGTACGACAAGGATGTGTACTTTCACCTGATTTGTTTTCAATATACAGTGAATATATAATGAGATCTTTAATTGATATGCCCGGAATTGTGGTTGGTGGGCACAATATAAACAATTTAAGTTGTTTGAAACTGTGCATTGTATGCTGTTAGAAATATTTGCTGTTATGCAATAAATTGTTATATACATTTTTATGTATATTATGTTAACACATTTTGACATTGAATTGAGTGTGTAAGTAAGTAAAAAAGTAAAGGACCCTTCTCTACGCCTTTAGATGTATAGGGCATATAGGGCTAAACCTATAATTATTAGATCAATTGGCACAAGATGGGTGATGTGGTCAGCATCACGCCAGCCGCCTTTTCTTCTCGGGACTGCACCCGGTACCCACAAAAGGCTGGGTTGAAATAGGAGCCAAGGTCATTTTTGCAAAAAAAAAGTCTGGCTCCGCCAGGGAGCAAACCCACAACCTTCCGATCCGCAGGCGACCGTCTAGCCGCTCTGCCATGGTTACTCCTGAATTGGGAGAGTAAAGATCGGCAAAGCCAAGCATGACAGACATAGCTAACTTACAAGAAGTCTTATTAACCTTCATAGGACTGGCACTGGCAGAATTAAGTAACTGACGCTGAAGTACTTTATATATTGAAAGGGGAATCTGAGCACCTATGGATGCGTCCGGCGTACCCTGAAGATAACATAACTCATAACATTTTGACAGTTGATTCATCTTTTGAGTCTGTGTGTGTGCGGGCAGGTGGGTGCCTTCCTTTGTGCTTGCACACAATGCTTGAGTAAGTGAATGAGTTAAGAAAATAAACATAAAGAATAACAGTTTGTGTTCCCTCGACAGGACTCTGAAGCTAATTTATGGCGAGGCTGGTTCTTTGGATATGATAGAGCAGTTGGGGCACGCAAGCTGGAATGCTTGTCAGTGATGGGACATGCTGGTTTTGTCAAACCCTTTCTTCTGACGAACACTTCAGCCAGGTAGGGGACAAGCTAAGAAGTAGTTTTCTGCCAGATTGTGTGTCAAGAGAATTTTTGGGGTCAAGCAGCAGCATAGCCGCCTTCAGGGTGGACAGAGTGTATTTGTACCATATAAGATATCCATATACTTTTACTTAGCAGTTCAGTTAAGAGTAAATTTATGGGTAGGTGTTGCTCATATTATATAACCTTTTTTAAAAAATGCTGTAGTACTGACACGTAATAGGATCTGCTGGCTTCTCCATGCTCGGCTCTCTAGCGTAGTTGGCTAAATAGGATTGCGCGAAGACCGGGTGACGAACTCCTTGTGGTCCAGGTTCATTCCTGGGGGTAGCCACATTTCTCCTAGATTATCGGTATTTACAATGGAATCGAGGCCGAAAGGTTGCGATATCCATAATACTGAGCCTAAGGGTTAACAACTCATGGCTTCTGGATACTAAAACAAACAAACAACAAACAGCTTCTCCAGAATGATACTACAGGGCCTAGTAAAGAAGAGGCAAACCAAGAAAGACCTGGATACAGAACTATCATATGGGCAGTGGATGCGGCGAAGTGATAGTGCACTTGCCTGCCAAGATCAAGATAGTGGTTCTGGTTCAATCCCCAGCTGAACCACTATTATTTTTCATCACTCATTGAGCGTTGTTGGAGTAAAAAACTGTAAGTCTGGTGCTATATGCCGTAGGTGCCTATGACTTGACAGGGTCTTTACTTAATCTTCACTTTTTTCCTTGTGGTTATTTACCTCAGAGCCTATTTATTGATAAGTCTGCATTAAATTATGTTATAAATTTGTAAAAATGGGCTCTTGAAACAGTTTAATTAGTGAGACAAGTTTATGAGGATCAGTGTTTTTTCAAATTCAACATCAGATTAACATGCTCTCATTATTCTCAATATGGAATTTTTTTCTTTTTTTTAAATAAATGACTTAGGACTTTCAAACGGGGGACATATCCTTGGTAGTAATGGCAGCTCGAAGATTATTGACCACATCATCCATCAAGTGCTGTTTGGTTTGTAGAAATATGGTGCTATTGCTGTATGCTGATGCACCAATGATGTTATAAGGGTCATCTTTGTGAATTATTTTGATCATATACTGCAGACATCAACAGATACTGGGCTGCATCTTTGTAATATTGTTCTCTGCAGCCCTGTGTGAGCTGTGTTTTTCCTGTGGAATACCTTTCGTTTGTGACACAGTCGTGGTGTTCAATATGGCCGGTAGCTGATTTACGTATCATTTATTTAATCATTGTATGTGTGTATTGTAGCCAACTTATCGTGCCCGACTACTTCCGTCAACAACAAACTGCATTTCTGGTGGCGATTGTTGGCTTTAGCGCCTCTAGCAACCAAAATATGCATTTACTTCATGCACATATTTCTGGATTGTTCCGGGATAATTATTTGTTTGCCAGTTTTTTAAATGTGGCAGTGACGGGCATTTAATTTGTTTGCTCTGGCACAGGAACAAAGCAGGTATGGGGAAACCTGATTGCAGCTAGGTTGAAACCTCGTAAAAGACTAATATTGTTTTGTCCTATATTAATTAGATCTGTAATGCTGGACAGAGCAGAAACACTTCTCCATGATCGTTACGGAGATTCTGTATTCTGGCAGGTGAGTTTCTGTCCAAGGTACTACTTTTATGACATGCTACTTTAAACAGAAAACTGAATTGTTGCTGAATTATTTACTTGGTTTACTGTTTATTAACTGTTGATACACTTTCTGACAATTAAATAATGAGACAGAATTTATTAAGGCCAGGACAAAACACCAACCACAAGGAAAAACCTGCCATCTGAACAAGCAGTATTTATCTATGGTCTGGCAGTGTTGCAATACCACTTATTCATCAGTGCTAGAAATTTTAAAAAAAAATTAATTATATTTTAAAACATAATTTAATATGTTTTCTTTGCTCAATGCTGCACCTCTCACTCGCTAAACAATGTGACAGATTACTTGTCATCTGCTGACTAGGCAGCATTTCAATTTTGCCAGCTCATAGTTGAATGTTGCATGTTTGTATGAAATGCTTTGCTTCAAGGTTGTTGTTTTTGTCATGGCCATAATGAAATCAGTCTCATATCTTAGTTGTGGGACAGTGTCCAATGTCAGGAATTATTGTATAATGTCAATAATCTATCTAAGGTCCTTGTGAGGTATGTGCATGAGTTTATGCATTTTCACTGCAAGATCCTAACATACATACTTTAAATGTACTTTTATATTGTCTTATCCTACTACATCCAAGATGTTTCCTATTTAGTTTGGTCATACAAAAATATACACTACCATATACGCAGTATGCATTAATTAATATTATGTTTATGTTTACTTTGCTTTCACATTTACTGTATTAATTGTTAATCACTTTAATGATTTTCAGTATGTCTGTAATGGCTGCATTTCAAGATTAGAAACAAACATGATAGTTTAGCCTTGCTCTTATTTGAAATCTGAATTACTGTGTGTGTTTGCACATATAATTATTTTAAAAGTTTATAACTTTTTTTCAGTGCCGACGGAGCATGAGATTTGCTAAACATTTGCGGGACATTGCAGACAACTTCCGAGCTGAGTATCTTGATTCAACGGATGAAGGAGATAAAGCAATAATTGAAGAAGATTGGCAGTCAATGAAGGTAAGAAATAGTCTGTATCAGTTTTTAAATTGTCCAGATTGTTTTTAATATCTATTTCAGTGAGTGATTATCACACATTTTTTTCATACTGATAGTTTCTAAGCATAGAGCAGTATATCATAATCATCGTCATCATCCCATAACACTACGTGTCATTGGGTCACCATTTTCTGTTGACTGTCTGATCAGCTCTTTCCACCTTTGGCGGTCAGTTGTGATGGACTTCATGGTTGCATGCCTGAGGCCTGTCCAGTCATTCAGGTTCTGTAACCAGGTCTTTCTTGGTCTGCCTCTTCTCCTCTTTTCTCTCTCCTATGCCCTGCAGTATTTGTTTGTTGAGAGGCCGTTTAGATCTTATTGCATGTCCATACCCATATCATATCACAATTACTGTCAAGAAAAAAAATCATGCCATCATCATCAAGTTCCTTGTCAATTAGTCTGGGTATTCACACATATTCATATTTTGTGATCTTCAAAAGAATGCATCTGTTTCTTGCTGGCATCTCTTTGTGGCTATCAAGAATTGCTAACTTGCTCTGTCTCATCATCATGTGCCCTACCAACTGACGTAGGCGCTCATGCGTCTCCACAGATCACGATCCCTGGTTGACTGGAACAGCTCTCTTGATGATATCCCTCCATGCCATCGTTTCAGCCCATCCAGCATCTTCTCTTGGTCTGCCTACCCCTTTTTCCACTTATCTTTCCAGTTGTCACGATGTTCTCCAATGTCTCTCTTCTCATTATGTGGTCAAAAAACAGTGTTTGTCTCTTTCCTATTGTTGTAAATAGAGATCTACTTTCATAGCCTCTTTCAAACAAACGTTGTTGTCAGTTACTCTGGCCATCCAAGGTATTCGTAACATTTGTCTCAGAAACCACATTTCTGTTGCTACCCAATTCTTCTTAATTTGTTCAGTGACATTCCAAGATTCGCTGCCACACAGCAGAACAGGTTCTATGTAACATTTTAGCACCCTCTTTCTGACATTAAATGAGAGCAAATTATTGCATAAGATATTTTTCATTTTCTGAAATCCAGCTTTTGCTTGACCTATTCTTCTTTTAATCTTTGTCACACATTTTCCATCTGATGATATGATTGTTCCCAGATGTTTAAATTTATTGACTTGATTAAGTCTTTTTCCTTCAACTGAGATATCACAACGTGGAATTATCTTCTTCTTCTCTGTCTCATGTTCCATAAATCTGTCCAGCTGTTACAAGATGTTCCACATTTTCCTTTTTTTAAATGTGCCTCAAAAAATGACAAGTGCATTTTTCTGTTGCTCATGATAAAATTGTCTTTTACAAATAGTTCCATAAATCTGTCCAGTTGTTACAAGATGTTCCACATTTTCCTTTTTTTAAATGTGCCTCAAAAAATGACAAGTGCATTTTTCTGATGCTCATGATAAAATTGTCTTCTACAAATATTTTTAGTCTCCTAAAAAACTTGCATTATTAATTTTGGCTGTCCAATGAATTTTATGCAGTCTTCAATAAAATCACATCCCTGTCAGTCAAGGTATTTTTTGTGCTTGTGCGGAATTCACAGCCATAGATTAGAACCGGTTTACTTGAAATACATTCTTCTTTTTTTTTTTTTTTAAGAATTTTTTTAGAATTTCCAACCTTTAAGGATTTATTGCAGAAGGTGTTCTTCATTTTATAAAAACATAGCTTCACTGTGTTCCTGTCTGTTTATGATCTTTGTAGGACACCTCCTGCCGGATGTCTTCCATTTGTCTAGATATTTGAATTTCTGTAACTGTCCCACATAAATTTAATTTAAAAATAAAAAATAACTAATAATGTAAAATATAATCCTCTTAAATATTCTGGGGATTGTCATTGAACAAAAGATGATGAGTGGGGGAACAGGCCTCTCATCCGATGTTCGTATTATGATATAGAACATTTGCAGGCCTAGCACTTCACATCCAAATGGCAACATGGGCTATGGGTCAACCTCTGCAAACAACAGAATATCTAATGTGTGTCTGGAGACAAGTGGGCATCACCAAGTTACTCTCTCCTATCTCATATCATTCCTTCAGAGTTAGAATACATCTGCCCAAGAGTCAAGGAATAACATCTTGCATGCAATTAAGTAAGTAAAACAGATGTCCATGTTTGAGTTTGATTTTTGTTTGTTTCTAGAGAAACCATGGTGATGCCATTGGTGGTCCATATCTGGCTGTCCACCTTCGACGAGCAGACTTTGTGAGGGCAAGAGAGAAATATGTTCCCTCGGTGAAGAGTGCAGCAAAACAAATTAAACATTTGGCAAAACAGTTGAATCTGACAAAGATTTTTGTTGCCACAGATGCACCACAGACAGGTAGATGAACATTTGATGTTTTCTGTCTGGCTGAGTGGTTAGAATGCTTGGCTGTCATGTAGAGGAACCATGTTTGATCCTCAGTAAGGGGTGGAAATTTTTTTTTGGGGGGGGGGGGGGGGGGGGGGGGTAAAAACCCTAACCTGCACAATTTGTGGCGACTGCACTAACCATGCGGCCTTAGCTCCTCGGGTTAATGACTCTCCTGTCTTACACTGCCAAGTGATACAGACAGTTTTTGCCTGTAGTTATTTTCTTAGTAAGAAAAGAATGAAGTACTTGCTGGCTGGAAATATTTATGACCTATTGTGCTAGTCCTGTCTAATTATATCAAGACACAGTATCAGTCCAGACAAGAAGAAGAACTAGTTAGTTTCACATAATTACATATTTACCAGATATTAACCATATATTTATAAGCTATCTGATTTAACATGTCATTCACTATTAAGCCTTACTACCATATCTGTCTAATGCAGGGCTATTTCATCTGGCGGCCCGTAGAGGGCTAGTAAGTAGCCCACAGATCAATGCGAGTTGAATTGTATTAATGATCTGTCCATACTGGGGCTCAGACTTCTGGCTCGTGAAGATCCCCAATTTCAGACTTCTGGCTCGTGAAGATCCCCATTTTCAGACTTCTGGCTGCTGAGTAAACTTAGTTGAATAACCCTGGTCTAATGCGCTCAAACTTGTCTAAGAGCATTAAGCACAGCTGTATTTATCTTTAAACAAAATTTGAGGTTACAGCCTTGCTTGCCACAGCCTTTTCTAGTTAGTTATCCCTTTGTGTGTTCATACATGTGTCAGAGTTTCAGCTGGTCACACACACACACATGGTGATTTCTCTCTGAGATACCTCAGTTAAGTGATTGTGTGAATTCTTGTTTGTATTTCTCTCTGAGATACCTCAGTTTAGTGATTGTGTGAATTCTTGTTAGTATTTGTCTATTCATGTAATAAGCTGATGAAAGCTTTCTAGCCGCAAGGTTCAGTTGTTGTTTGTAACTGTGATAAAGTGAAGCTGACTAGCTCTACTTTTACTTTGGTTTGATATCTCTTCATGCCAGCCATCTTTATTGGAAGGAAAGTTTCCTGGTACCTATTTTAGGCTGGGCTAGCCAGGCAGACCAGGTCAGTTTCTCAGACTGCCTCATTAGGGATTCAAACTTATGACCAGGGACCATGTCAAGTGAGCTAGCCACTACACTACCGTGACTCTCTGTTTTCACAGCGACTATGGTTAAATTAAGTCCAAATATCTTAGTACTATCTCACACTAATTAAGGAAGAAAATAGAGTCTTTTAGGCTGAAATGCTGTAGAATGATTCTCAGAATATTATGGACAAAGAAGAAGAGAAATACTGATATCCTAAAAGATCCGAACATCAAGGAAGATTGGCTGGTAAACAACATCATGTCTCCAAAACTGAAATATTTTAGCCATATCAGATGCCACAGAAGATTGAGACAGGCATGCTCTGTGCAGAGTGGCAAGCATCACTTCAGAGGTCCCGGGTAGTTAGCATACATTAGATATTTTCTCCAGGTACGTGGGTGGGATGGGAAATGAACATGTGGATAGACTTGCCGGTTCTGCACAACTTGGTGGTGAACTGATATATGACAAGCTGGATATTGTGAGGGCCCTTTGGGAGCGAGTGAACAGTGCAGAGGAACAGATAGATCATTACGGTCTGAGGAGAATGGCACTGTGAGGAGTTACAAGGGGATCTAGCCGATGTTCAACACTCAGGGGAGGGGCAAGACAGATATACAATCAGACTGTTACTGGTACAATCAGTATTTTAACTCTTTGCTGGCTGCTGAAGATGGGGACGGAGCGCTTATGGGAGTGTCCCAAGTGCTGTGATGTTGATTCTTAATTCAGCATTCAACATCCACAGAAGATTGGAAAGAATAGTAGCAGAAAGCTAGGTACCAGGAAATAGGGGCAGGGGCTGACCAGCACAAAGATGAGCAAAAGATATTAGTGACACCTTGGGTAGAAAAGTGCAAGAGGCAGGCGATCTGGTGAGAGACCAAATTTCTTGCAGGCAGGCGTTGATGAGAGTGATGTTCTGTAAAGGACCTGCTACATAATGATGACGATGACGAATGGTTTAGTGCATTTACTTTCTAACACAGTCATCTCTGACCTTGGGGGAACACATTGAGGGAAGGGTGGCTTATAACAGATTATTTCAATCCTATTCTGATCCGCTGGATTGCTGCGGTCCTGTTCCAGAGAAAGATTGTACTAAGATGTGGTAGCTGGTCCTCAGAACCGCAAACGATATGTCCAGGCTTGCCACAGGGATCACCGCTATCACCAGTCTTATTCAACGTTTATATGGTGATGATCACTGAGCAGCAGTTGAATGGAAAGGGGAGGACTTTGTCATTTGCTGATGACATTTTGATTTATCGACGAGGGCGTGATAGACAGGAGATCGCCAGCACTATGCACAAAGAACTCGATCGAATTGCCACCTGGTGTGATGGTTCCAATGCCTATGTCAATCCTTCGAAGGCATCAGTGTCATGGTTCTCTTTGAACAATCACATTGTCAAGTCGGACTTACCAGAAGTGAAAATGCGTGATAATGTATTGATCAGAACCAACGTTATGACGTTTCTCGGGGTGAGGTTCGATCGCAGCTTGTCATTCAGGGAACACGTTGACCATGTGATAACAAAAGCACGCAAAGGTCTATCTGCAATGAGGATTATGGCTGCTTCCAACATTGAGCAAAGACTACTAATACTTCTATTCTACGGTCTGGTCCTTTCTCCCATTGAATACGCTCTGGCCATCCTCACTGTCAGTGCTACCCAGATTGAACGACTCGAAAAGGTGCAAAATGAAGCCATGCGCATTATTTTGGGATGTACTAGAGACACATCCTGTGGAGCAATGAGGTATCTACTTGATTTTCCAACAATGAACCAAAGGATCAGGATGTGGAGGGCTCGGGCATATCTCAAAATATGTGCTGATAAGAAACACCCACTGCATCAAGCGCTTTTTAGTGAAAAGGGCGACAGACTGAAGAGGGGGAAATCGTGGCTAGGTCGGGCAGAAGATGTTATTAGGGAAATATGCAGCCTAACCGACATCATACCTGGTGCAGAATGGATACCTGTGCCTCAGGCGTTTATTTGTACATTTTCCTGTATTGTCACACTCAACAGGCGATGTAGAGAAGAGAATCCTGTTGCTGTTAATGCAGAGGTCAACGCTCTCATCAGTGAAAATTCAGACGAAGCAGATGCAATAATCTATACAGACGGATCCGTTATACGCCAAAGAAGAAGCGCATGGGCATTTACAGCACGCTCAGCGGACAGAACAGTCAAAGAAGCCAACGGCGCCTTCTCCATGACAACCAGCAGCATGACGATGGAGGTGATGGCAGTGACACAAGCGCTTGCCTGGCTTGAAACACAAAAATACACCCGCGTGTGTATACTCAGTGATTCAATGAGTATGATCCGGAGGGTTCAGGCAGGTTCAGTGCGAAGACAATGGCTTGAATCATTACAGAAGTCCACTGTCCGTGGAGTCACCTTTATTTTTGTTCCGGGACACGCAGGCGTCGATGGAAATGAAAGAGCTGACAGGTTGGCTGGATCCGCTATCACTACCGACGGTCAGCCTATGGATCATGCTGATATTATCAATGCCCTCAGAGAAATGGGAAGGATAGACGACTTTGGTGGCAGTGAATCCACATCACTCGCCAGAATGGCAGACTTGGGAATTAAGATCGGCACAGCAAAAAACGAGACGCACACCAGCTACGCCAGAAGACTTGTTAATCAACATAGAACTGGTACTATTAGCCATCGGACGTTGGGGTTCATACTGAGGGGAGGATCTGAGCACCTATGGACATGTCCGGAGTGCAATGAGGATAACCCAACTAACTAACTAACTAACTAACTAAGATTATTTCAAGGGGGAACATCGAGCCGATTTAAAATTGAAAACATTTGTACTTGAAATAATCTGTTATGCTAACATTTTTTCAGTTTAATTATAAATTTAAAAAACAAATATTTAAACTACCTACCAAAAAACAAAAACAAACAACGAAAGCCTTTTTTGTTTTTATGAGTGGTTTGTACATCTACTGTTAAAAATCTAATTAATCTGATAACACATGTATATCAATATAGGTTTAAAACACATTGTGACCACAGTGTATCTCCTTACTTTCTATTTCGCCTTGTTGATAAAACACATGTGCATTGCCTATTTTTTAAGTGAACATTTAAGTCATTTATCATAAAATTTGGTGGTGTTATTTTTGAAAAATTGTGTTGAAATGTTCACTGTGTTTCTATTTTAGTGATACAAATATAATAATGATGTCTGTGCCAAAGAAAAATTGTACGAAGATGACCATTTTGAATTTGGTTTTATGGTCTTAATTTATGTGGTTTTCCAGAAAAGGCTTTCAGAATTTGGGGGCATAGCAGTTTCTAATGAATTCAAAGATTAAAGCAACTTCTTAAATATGATGTTTTCTTTTAGAATATGATCTAGAAGTTATTGACAGATTTACTGCTTTCTTCCACATTCAGATAAGAATCCTATAGCATTGCATTGCAATATGCTGTTTTTGTTGTTGTTGTTTGTTGGTGTTGCATAATAAGACATGAATAAACAAGATTTTTTAAAAATCACATTCACTTTAAAATGACTCCACACTCCCTCTTTTTTTTTTCCTTAACAAGAACTTAGCAGTGTGAAAGATTATAGTCACTTAGATGTGTGTTTTTTTTCCCTTAAGAATATGACAAGATATAAAATTATAGTTACTTAGGTTTAGTGTTGTTTCCCCCAGATATGACAAGATGAATGATTATAGTCACTGAGATTGGCTATTTTCTTTCAGAATACGATGAACTCAAGGGATATCTGACAGATTTTTCAGTTTATCAATTTGAACCAACTTTAGAAGCTAGAGCAAAGTATAAAGATGGAGGTGTAGCCATCATTGACCAGTGGATCTGTGCACATGCCAGGTAGGGTAGACATTTTAGTTGAATATATATATATATATATACATATAGGCTTGTGATTTATGTTGATAAGTGTGTTAGTTATGACATTAAGAAAAGATAATCGATGTGGAAACAAGAATTCAAGCTACATATAGAGTAATGTAATAGTTATCAATTGATCAAATACCGTATGCTTCCTTATATTTTTGGATGCATGAAGGGATGAACTGACAGATAAGATAAATTAATCAGCAATTTGACTCATAGACTGGTCACTGTATATGTTAGTCATAAAACCAATCACACTAAGTCACTGTCTATGAATTGACTATCTGTTCTTGACTCATAAATAAGTCACAGTCAGTCAGCTACTTGGATGTGACTGTCTGTTCTTGACTCAAACAAGTGACAATAAGTCACTGACTTGGATTGGACTATCTGTTCTTGACTCATAAACAAGTCACAGTCAGTCAGTGCTTGGGGTGTGACCATCTGTTATTGACTCAAACTAGTCTCTGTCATTCAGTGCTATGATTATGATAATGTGCTGTTAATTCTCAGACTAGTCACTGTCAGCTTATGTTTTGGTTTTGACTCTGTATTACTGACATATAGTCATGTTATTTTCTGATTACGGATATTGACTCATAAATGAGTTACAATCAGTATATGGTTTATTTTTCATATTGTTCACTGGCAGTAAACTACAGTGAAAAATCCTGGTTGTTTTTCCACTTCTGGACCTTAGTCTTGTTCCAGACCTTGACTTTGGCATACAAATCCATTTGACAGAACTGGTTTTTTTGGTATGCAGACTGTTGGTTCCTTGTCTCTCAGGCAGATGCCCTCCAACTTAGAGGAAAGCACCCCTAATTAGTCGACTTGTATGACATTCTTGTTAGGGAGAAGGTGGGTCTGTTCTGTTCTGTCCCCACAATGGGGCTCTGGAACCCACACAGAAAAGTCCATGCTTCGAGTATGAATGTTTTCTACTTGTAGACCTCATGCTTTGTAATATTATTGACTCAAAGACTCATCGGTATAGTTAATTGTAACCATTTGTCATTGCAGATACTTTATAGGGACCCGGGAGTCAACATTTTCCTTCCGGATCCAAGATGAGCGAGAGATTCTAGGTTTTGCCCCAGAGACAACCTTCAATTGTTTGTGCAAGAAGAAAGAAAGTGAATGCGAGCAGCCCACTAGGTGGTTGATCAAATACTGAGCATTCTTAGTTTATTTTACTGTTCTTGATGCAGGCACACTTTTACTTGCCATAACAAACAAAGTTGATTGTATTTAGTGGGGTGTTTGATTTTCATAGTAATGTCTTATAAATTACATACTTAAATATTTATTATTTATAAAACTATGGTTCATATTATTTTTTATTTTGTGTAAAAATATTTTTGGTTTTTATTGGGGGGGGGGGGGGGGGGGGGGGGGATCAAACAATTACGAGGGATGTCAAAAAAAAATGCCACATAATTTTTATTCATGTAAATACTGTATCGTTGTTCATTTTTTAAATTTAGCAGAATTCCTTGAGCACTCTTCTCTAGTGTGTAGCCTGATGTCATCAGCTTGATGAATGTTATGGGGAGTAACTGCAGTAGACGGACAGCCATTACGCTTTGCATTAGCCATTGAGGATTGACCTACTTCAGCATCAGCACAATGGTGTACCCCACATCGGACAGTACTGACATCTGCTGTTGAATATCCATAAATATTCTTCAAACGTTCGTGGATGTGAATTAAGATCTTGCCTACAGTATTAAGGAATTCTATATTGTTACCTTGTTTTAACTGATCATTTTTGGAAACCATTTGAAAAACCATTACAGTGGTGCCATCTGTTACTGAAACAGGTTGGTAATGCTATACACTGCAGAAGAATGTTTGAGGAATCCTGCAAAATTTACAAAATGCACACCGATACAGTATTTACATTGATAAAAATTAGTCACATCGTGACCTCTTTAACTCTTCGAGTTCCAAGGAACACATCATACGTTCATAGGTTCCCCCTACAGAACGCAAAATGCGCCGATTTTACATCTCCTTTGACTACCCCTTGGGCCTTTGATGCTAAACCCCCTGGGACTCAAAGAGTTAATGTTTGAGGAGGCGCAAAAACAGCCAGTAGTATTAACTATGTGTCTCATTAACAGGTCACTATACACAGGTCAGAAAAGTGACATTTATGGGGAATTGGGCCCAGCTGGGAGTGTCTTTTGTATGGCTTCTCTGGGCGAAAGGATTAAGTCATCTTACACTGAGGTTTCAACAATCAGGTTTCCCCATATTTAATCCATTCCTGTGCCAGTGCGAATCAGTGAAATGTCCCTCACTGTTGCATATAAAAAATGGTGAATAAACAACTAGTTCCGGAACAATCCACAGATATGTGCACACAGTAAATGCGTATTTCAGTTGCTCGAGGCGGCAAAGCCAACAATCGCCACCAGAAATGCAGTGTGTCGTTGATGGAAGTAATCAGGCACGATAAGTTGGTTACTATGCGCACACGTAGAATTCTTACATAAGGTATTTCACCAGCTCACACGTAAACTGGCCATTGACCATATTGAACAAAACGACACAACAGCTGCGCAAATAAAAGGCATTCCATAGGAAAAACACAGCTCACAGGGCTGCAACCAAACACTAAACTCAGTAGCTCAGACAGTGAAGCCGTAGACTACCATCCTTATGTGGAAACTGCCTTAGCAAAGCGTTATGTGGAAACTGCCTTAGCAAAGCGTTATGTGGAAACTGCCTTAGCAAAGCGTTATGTGGAAACTGCCTTAGCAAAGCGTTATGTGGAAACTGCCTTAGCAAAGCGTTATGTGGAAACTGCCTTAGCAAAGCGTTATGTGGAAACTGCCTTAGCAAAGCGTTATGTGGAAACTGCCTTAGCAAAGCGTTATGTGGAAACTGCCTTAGCAAAGCATTGTCGGAAGCAAAAATAACTTTAAAGCTCAACATTCTGCCAAGCCTTTCCTCCATTTTGGCCAGAAGTCTGAGGGGTATAATGAGGAGGAAATCTGAGTACTTATGCACAGAATGGCTCGATGTGCAGGAGGATGACCTACTCATCATCACCATCATGTTTCCACATCTGCCTTTTAGCATCATGGGGAGGAACCGTCTGATCCCTTGTTCCACCAGTAACACTGGCTGTTATCATTTCATGTAGATGAATAGAGTATTTAATGTCATCGGTCTGTCCTTTCCTTGGGTACCTTTTATTTTCATGTCAGAACTTTTAAAGTTTTGGTACATGTCATGGCTTCATTCTTATGAAATGACAAAACCATTTGATCTTCTGCTTCTCAGTGAATCTAATGCAAGGTTTTGTTGTCAACTAACTTGGGAAGTCACACAGTATTTATATTTAAAAATAAAATGAATAGTAGTTTTTATTTTCTGTAACATTTAATTTACTAATTAATGAACAGTGTTTAAAACAAACAACATCTAACATCCATGAATGAAGAATGTAAAACAAATAATATGAGAATCAACACTGAAAAGACAGAAGTAATGTCAATAGGAAAAAAGAAGACAGACCTAAACATAGCAATAGAGTGTAAAGGCATTAAACAGTCATCTGAGTTTAAATATCTGGGAACTTCATTTACGGAAGATGGAAAATTGGATGCAGTAAAGCAAACCAAGTATTAGGACAGCTAGCCCCCCCTCTTACAGCATAAGACAATCCCAATCAGCACAAAGAGACATCTTATTTAAAGCATATTTATTCCAACTCTGTGCTACCAGTGCCAGACATGGTCACTCACAACAAACCATAAAAGAAAATTAGTAACCACGGAAATGAGATGTCTGAGAAGGGCTGTAGGAGTGACCATAAGAGATAAGATCAGGAATGAGATCATAAGAGAAAAAGTTAGCACAGAACCAATTCTGGATTACATACGAAGACAGCAAGTGAAATGGTTTGCCCACTTAGAGAGAATGCCTTGTGACACCATACCATACAAAGCATACATGGAAAGAGAAAAAGGACGTAGAGCACGAGGTAGATCAAGAACCGTATGGAAGGATAACATCAGAGAAACTCTACAACAGCACGATGTGCCTATGGTCGAGGCGGCCAGAAGAGCTAGAAACAGAACCTTATATCTCACTCGACACCCACAGCGGTAAAAGAGGAAGTGAAGAAGAAGAAGAAGTTTAAAACAATTTTGTTAAAATGTGTCACTGAGAGGTATACTGGGGAGAGAATCTGAGTACTTATGCAGAGAATAGCTTGATTTACAGTCATCATTCAGTTTCCACTTTTGCCATTTAGCATTGTAGGGAGGAACTGTGTCATCCATTGCTCAATGGGTAGCACTGGCTGTTATTATTTCATGCAGATGTATACTGTCTTTAATGTCATCAGTCCATCTTCTCCTTGGATGCCTTTTTGCTTTCATGTCAGATCTTTTCAAGTGTAGTGCCTGTGTTGGTAGTTGTTGTGGCTGTGTTCTAATGAGATGACCAAACCATTTGATTTTCTTCTTCTCAATGAATTTAATGCAAGTTGTTGTCGACTAACTTGGAAAGTCCCCACAGTATTTATTTTTTAAATGTAATAGCAGTGTTTTTTTTTCTGTAGCATTTGAATTACTATTGCTAAACCATCATTTAGAACAGTTTTGTTAAACTGTCAGCTGCTGAATAGATGTACTGCTTATGCAAAGATCTGGAATTTTATTGTGCCTTAATGCAACTGATATTTTGGTCATATGTTTTACATATCACCATATTTTTAATATGCTATTTCATTAGAATATAAAAGTGTCATTTTTTGTTTTTTAAGACATACACATGAATTTTTGAGTATGCATGGTGTAAATAAGTGTGTTAATTGTGTACACATGAGTGGTTGAGTGTGTATGAGTTTGTGAGTGGGAAATATCTACTAATATCAGTTATTGTGCTGCTTACAATTATGGACATTCTGGGGGTCGAAAAAAGGAAATAAAAAAGGTTGAATTAAGAATCAACATCATAGCATTTGGGACACCCCCATAAGCGCTCCGTCTCCATCTTCAGCAGCAAACAAAGAGTTCCAGTTCCGATGGCATCAATAACTGTCTGATTGTATATCTGTCTTGTCTTTCCCTTGAGTGTTGAGTGTCGGCCAAATCCCCTGGTAACTCCTCGCAGCGCCATTCTCCTCAGAACGTAATGATCTATTTGCAGTTCTGCACTGTTCAATCGCTCCCAGAGGGCACTCACAAACAGGAAATATTAATTTAGAAACGTATATACCTTGTAAGTCAGTTATGTATCTTTACATATAATTACAGAGCAACACTAGCATTAGTAGGTTGTTTGTGGTTTTATTAGTCGGTTTTACGTTTAGTAGTTTGCTATTACTTTCTGAACAGGAGACCCCGTACCATTGTTGAAATCAAGACATAATGGTCTGCTTGATCGACTCCCGTAATGTATGTGATCAGAAAGAAATAAGTGTTGTACAGGGATTGACAGAATTGCTTTGTTAATTTATTCAACATTCTGCACACAAATAAGTCAGTTCTGTAAAACAGATGTGCATGCAACACTCAGGTTCTGGAACAAGTCTAAAGTCCAGAGGTGGATGAACAACCAGAACTTTCTGCCGGAGTTTACAACCGGTGAACGCGAAGAAGAAGAAAGAAGATTTTGTCTAAGACAAAAACAACAACATCCATGAAGCAAAGTTTGGCATCCGAACAGGTATCATCTACCAGTTGGCCAAAATGCCATGCTTCTTGGTGAGCAGACAACAAATAACCTGTCATTTTGTTCCGCTAGTGAGAGATGCTTTTTGTATTTAATGACCTAACTGTGTAAAGCTCCCAGATTCTTATCTCTCATCACTTTCAAATGTCTTGCCAACTGGATTTGGTGATCATTCATCTGCAGAACACTTATTCTGTAGCGCAATGTATATACCATGGTAGTATAGTAGACAAGACATTTGACTGTTAGCATGTAGGTCTTGACATTGAATCTGCATTAAGATAGATTGTGGTCTTCTTCTTTGCCAGAATTTGAGTTTTGCTTGCACATCTGTTTTACAGTTCTGGTTTATTTGTAAGCAGACTGTCAGTTCCTTACCTTTCAGGCAGCTGCACTCCGACTTTGAAGGAAACACCTCTAATTAGTCTACTTTTAACTCCTAAAAACAGTCCAGTTTATCACAAGAACTTGTCTATTGGTGTA